AAAAAAAAAAAAAAAAGTCACACTCATAGAAACAGAGAGTTTAAAAGTGGTTGCTGGAGCTGGGGTTGAGGAAACAGAAATAGGGGAAGTTGGTAAAAGGGCACAAACTTCCAGTTATACGATGAATAAGGTCTGAGGATCTAATGTAACATGGTAACTACTACAAAAAAAGTTGGTGATAAAGGATGAAAAGAAAAAGTAATGATCAGATCTGCCCTGAATCACTCAAACATAGCTGAAATCTCCAGGTTATAGTGTATATCATAGCCTTCTGAAGGAAGCAGTTATGTAAACTCTACTTGAACACTAACTGGAGTCTGTGAACCTGAACATCCAGGTCTTATCTAGAAAATTACTGAATCCGGCAATCTGCAATGGCTGTTAGTATGGCCAACTGTTAAGGTCAGGGTTTCAACACTAGTTTTGTGATCTTGTACAAGGTATTTAGTCTCTCTAAGCCTCAGTTTCCTCATATGTGAAATGAGAATGACCATTATTATATCTATCCTATGGAATTATTGCAAGGATTAAAAAGAGATAGTTAAAGCTCCTGGAATATAACTCTATTTACTAACGGAAAGTACTCTTCAGCATTCCTTGGTAAGTACATGAAATTGTTTTGTTTTTTGTTGTTTTTATGACCAAACAGGCCTGTAAGATAGATGAGCTGAGATACATACATTCATTCCACAAACAGTAAATAGGAAAAGGCATATCAAGTACCATTAAGTTCAAGAGTGCTGGACTCTGTGGCTTTTGTATGGATCTCATGGGAGATCTGAGAAAAGTCCATGTTTAACTAAAGAACATTGGGTGTGGCCAAAATGAGCCACATTCATAGGTAGGTCCATAACCTGTTTCTCTCCTGTCAATATCACCTCATGATGCTTTCAATTATTCAACTAACAAACACTTACTGAGTACTAGCCACCATCCAGGCCCTACACAAGGCATCAGGGCCCCAGAGAGGAAGAAGGCATTGTCCATGTCTTTGTGGGACATGCAAGCTATAAGGAGAGGCCCTCAATAAACAGGTGAAATGTCCTGTCATTATGATAAAGATAGTCACATTCATTCAACAAGCCTACTATGGCTTGGGGAACAGGGAATAAAACAGTCATCAATAAAATGAAATACTCTCATGACTTACAATCTAGGGGGAAACAGTCATTAAAACTAATCATTCAAATGGTTAAGTGAACACTTACAATGTGCAAAGTGCTGCTGGTGATGCATTTAGTGCCATAGACCATGTCACAAGGGCTCAGGAAAGCTTTCCCCGGGCAAGAGATGATTAAGCTGAGACATGAACCAGAATGATGGAGGCAGAATGAGGGAGGAGAGAGTGTTCTAGGAGAGAAGACAGTGTATGCAAAGTTCTGGAGGGAGGACAGAGGAGGACTGGAAAAGTGTGGATGGGTAAGGCCTGGAGGCAGTGGGTATAGCCACCAGGATGGACTGGACAAGAAAGAAGAATCCAGATCATTACAGTGCCTTTTAAGCCTCATGAAGTCTTTGGGGCTTACTCTGTGAGCAACAATTGTATTGCAAGTTTGAAGCAAGAAACTGACATAGTTCAACTTTATGTGTGTTATATATTTGTGTGTAGCAAAAAGGGAAGATACAATTTACATAAAATAAAATTCAGAGATCTTAAGTGAGGATACATGCTGGAGTAACCAACCCTCAAAACAAGATGCAGGACATTATGATCACTTTAGCAAGTTCCCTCTTGCCAACGTCCATCCCATAATCAGACTTGTTTTGTATGTTTATTTACTCTGGCAATAGTGTAGAGAATGGGTGATGGGGGTGGGGGCAAAAACTGATGAGGGATATACTTGGGTAGTAGCAATGGGGATTGAAGTGAAGGAGCTCAATAAATAGAAGAAAACGTTAGTAGAGCTTGGAATGTCTGGGAAGGAACAGGGGAGGGGCAGTCAGGAATGACCCACAAGTTGCTGGCTGGAGTAGTTGGAGGGACGCCTGACCACCCTGGGGAAGAAGGATCTGGAAGACTTTCCAGAAGAGCTAATGTGCAGGCTGAGTTTTGCAAAATCAATGAGAGTTAGCTAGGTGAGGGGAGTGAAAAGTGCATTTTAGGAAGGGGGTGGCAAAGGACAATCTCAGGGAAGATCCTGGGAACGAATACAGATGAGAGCACCTGGATCTAGCCTCACCTTAAATATACCCTAAGACATTTTACTTCTATGCAACAATAAAATCTCACTTGGTCTAAGCTAGTTTGAGCTTCTGATGTAACAGAGAGTTGTGGTTATGAGGAGAAAATTGAGAGGTATGGAAAAGGAGGTGAGAGCAGCCTCTGGGTCCAGGGTGTTGAGCCCCAGATCAATGCCACTTAGGAGAGAAGTCAAGAAAGAACACCTGAGTTTCCAGGCACAGTGACTGACCTGTAGGACCTACCCCAGGACTGTGGGCAAGGACAGCTCCCACCCAGTGGGTCTAGACTCGGAGACTCACCCCCTCAAACCACTGTGTCAGGATCCACTCCCCCTGGCAAAACACCCCATGAAAATCCTGAGCCCCCAAGGACCCCAAAAACCTAGCAAAGCTCCCCAGTCATCCATTCTATGGGAGAAGACTGAGCACTTTAACACTCCCCAGGCTGGGGGTAGAGGTGAGAGGACACATCCATTGCATAAATTTGGAAGTCATTTGCAATGGATGGACATTGAAGTCATGTGGCTAGAAAAAAAAATCCCTCAAGAATATGTGACCTGTGACCTTTGAGGACATTATGCTGAGTGAAAGAAACCAATCACAAAAGGGCAAATACCGTATGATTCTGCTTATATGAGATGTCTAATGTATTCACCCTCATAGAGCCAGCATGTAGAATAGTAATTGCCAGCGACTGGAAGAAAAGGAACACGGAGAGGTGCTCATCAATGGGCATAATGTTTCAGTTACATGGGATGGATAGGTTCTAGAGACGTGCTGGATGATGGATTGCCTGTAGTTAACAAGACTGTGCTGTGCACCTAAAAATGTATTGAAGATAGATCTCATGTTAAGTGTTACCATAATAGAGCTTTTTTTTTTTTAATTTTTTTTTCCAACGTTTATTTATTTTTGGGACAGAGAGAGACAGAGCATGGACGGGGGAGGGGCAGAGAGAGAGGGAGACACAGAATCGGAAACAGGCTCCAGGCTCCGAGCCATCAGCCCAGAGCCTGACGCGGGGCTCGAACTCACGGACCGCGAGATCGTGACCTGGCTGAAGTCGGACGCTTAACCGACTGCGCCACCCAGGCGCCCCCATAATAGAGCTTTTAAAAAGAACATGTAGTTTAAGAAGAGAAGAGGGTAAGGATCGAACAATGGATGTCACCAACATGTCAGGGACAAATAGAGGAAGAGAAGTCTTCACAGAAGGCAGAGAGTGAATGCATGGAGAGAGAGGTCATTCAGGAGAAAGCAGCTTATGAGAAACCAAGAAACATCAGCCAAGGATGACAAGGATGGAACGGGATCCATGATGCAGCAACCACATGTTGCAAAATGACACCCTCTGTGAGATTAACAAGAGTGTGAAGGTTGCCAGAAAGAGAATGGGTAAGTTGGAATGAGGAGCCCGAGGCCCTCGTGGGAAGGAAGGGCACCCCCTCCCCATTCCTTTAACCCTAGTAATTTGCAGGAGTGGAACAAAGTGCCCTAACCAAGTTTTTCCTCATGGCGGGAAAGACAGCAAGGGGCCCTGAAGTAATATGACCATGAGGGTAACGAAAGTGGTACAGAACAGAACTAGCTTGATGGAGTCACTGGGCTGATGGTAATAATACTTTGAGTAGTTGAAGTGGTAGATGCTAGACGCTTGGGCTCTCTTACTTCTTCCCTGACTCAGGGAAAAGCTATAACCTGGGAGCTGTCACTCCGGGCCAGGAACTCCCTTGGTAGGCCCTAACGCAAAGAGACAAGGAGACCTGGGAAGGTACCAATGGAGGCGGCTGCAGGATCAGACAGTTCAGCCACCAACCTAAGCCAGCATCCAAGGTTTTCTTCATGGAGGCTCCTGGGCAAGGAGTCATGGCTTACAGTCAAGGAGGCAGGGAAAGCAGGATTCACCCTTGTCAGTGGGCACCAGGGCTTCCAGGACGCAGAGGGCAAAGCTAGCCAGGAGAAGACTCGATCCCTACTAATCTCGGCATGTGGATGCTTGGGCACCGTGCTAGGGGACACCCCCACAGAGCTGTTTCCTGTACCCCAAAGCAAAGTCAGGATACAGGGAACAGGAAGTCACAGATGTTACAGGCCAGTGAAGAAGTGGGATGAAACTAGACCTTGGTGGGAATAAAGTCCGAAAGCACATGAAGACAGTAAATGGAGGTCCGTCTTTTCATGGAGATAAATCCTTGACCTTGAAAGGAAGGAGAGAAGTGGGGCTTGGGTTAGAAGGATATGTAAGATGGGGGCATTCGTGAGTGTTTATAGGAAAGCCTGAGAAAGCTCACCTCTGTGAAGGAAAGGTGGGACAAAGGAAAGGGACCAAGGCCCCTGAAGCAGGTGTTGGGGGATGAGACCCAGAACCCAGCTGGAGAGGAGGGGCCAGGAGAAAAGAAACCTGGAAGAAACCACCTCAAAGCAGACCCTATGACCTCACAAAGCTGGCACACTCATCCCCAGGGTTCCAGAAAATCTGAGTCAGTACTGGCTAAGTCTCCTAGCAACTGGATGCAGGGGGCATGGCACTCTTAACACCCCAGGGAGTAAAAAAAGTCTTCCAATTTCAGGTGAAGAGAAAACCCAACTTTTAAAAAGGAGTTTGCTCGGTGATGTAAGAGTGAGGTGTGTGTGTAAAGTGGCCCCTCAACAGTGCTTCTTCAGATAGACACCTTGGACATGACTCCTTGCCCAAGAGGCCCACAATGGGGGGCAGGGGGGTGCCAGCTGGAATGCCAGGCCAAAGGCTTACCAGCCCTTGGAGCTTGGAGGCTGTTTTCCCAACCTATAGGGACAGAGCCTGCCTGATGGGAAGGAGGATATGGCCATAAAGGCACTGTGCCTGCCTCCACTCTGAGGAGGGCCAGGAAGGCCCTAGGGGCTGATCACCATGGGATGCTACCTCTTATCAGTCAGCCTCAAGGCCTTGTGAGCCCTTTGGGCTTATATGCCAATGTGTGTAGGGAATGTGTGTGGTTGTGGGGGTGGGGGAAGGGGGCTGTTGCTTAAGGCAGGGAAGGGGCAGATTTCATCAATTTCCTAGACCCAACTCTATGGTGACTGGTGTGAGTAAGGAGGGGCCTGGGCCTTCCAGAATAGGGCTCCTTCCAGAATAGGGCTTTCCACAGAGGGGTGTCAGGGCACTATTACAGAGTTCAGGCAAGAAGAGTCATGCAACTATGTGCACAAGTTAGCTTCTGACCTTCAGCCATGAGCTGATGGGCAGGCACCAGGCAAAACTTTCCTGGTGGGGCCTCCCTCCCCGCTCTGGGACATGTGCTTTCACTGGCTGCTCTACATCTCCCAACCAGCTGACACCAACCTGGGGATCTGTGAGCACTGCAAGGAATGGCTGCCTGGGTCAGGTGGTGAGAGAGGAATCCCTGGGCTCTGGACCTTCCCCTGAGAACAGTTTCCCCACAAATGCCCACTCCCCCAGCCAGGAACCTCCCTCACCCCAAGGGAGCAACGTTCCCATGTTCAGTGGCTCTCCACTTCATGCCGCACCTTTTCTTACTCCCTCCTTTAATGACACTTGCTTCTCCTACATCTGTTGATGACCTATAAGAATCCTTCTGGAAAGGCCAGACCAACTCTCAAGTGTGAAATGGGTTCTTTTGGCTAGTTCCCTGATCGGGTTTCCCTGCCTGACCTGCTAGAGTGCCCAAATTTTCACCAAGTAAGGCGTATTCTTTCTTTTAAAACATAGGCTCACCAAGCTTCTTTGTAGTCATTTACACTTTAGTATGAATTCCGTTATCAAATCAATACCTCTGGGGCAGTTAGTTGAGAGTGGACTCACAGGGAAGTCAACTTTTGTTTTAGAGAAGAGGAAGGAGGGACCATAATTCAGGACTTGAAGCCTGCTGAAGCTGCAATGACTAGCATGAGAACTCTGAGAGGAAGGAGCAGTGCTAGAAAGAACAGCGCATTCCCAGAAAGGGGAGGGAGAGCTGTCCAAAACTGAAAGCATGATTCTCCCCAGGCATACTCATATTTCTGGTCACTCTTCAGGACAATGCAGAGCCCTGTGAGGACCCCAGTGGTGATTTGCTCAGTGAGGATGGCATCTTGATTCCTCAGTCTCACTCTCCATCCCTCATATCATGCCCTGCAGAAACCAGAAGGTAGGGAGCACCTACGGAGACTGTTGAACTGGGAAGAGTTTGATGAAGTGAGAGACTCCCGCAGAAGCATTCTGCTGGATACCCTCTATGAAAGCATCATCTTTGCCGTGGGCAAAGGTTTCCCATGGGTGGAAGTGGCCAAGGTGGTCAAGTTCACGGAAGAGCTGCTCAAGGAAACCAAAGGTATGGGGCATCCAGAGCAGGGGTCAGCGAGGCTTGCAGGGGAATGCAGGGCACAGGACCCCCCTGCAGTCCACAGCCTCAGGAACCCTGTGAGGAGCTGGAAGTCCCTTTCTTTCTTTCTCTGACATTTAGCATCCTCCGATGCTCATAAACAAACTTCCTGTCTAGGCTTTCTGGAAATTGAAGCAAACTGAGTGTCCATGCTGCGTCTTTATTTTTATCTCCCTGGCTTAAAGTTTCGCACAACTTCAAGCTGTTCACACAGCAGCCAGGATGTTTGTCTCTTGGTCAGTCAGTCATTTATGCTTAAATATGAATTTCCTTATCTGATCAGTACCTCTGAGGCAGCTAGCTGAGAGTAGGCTCCGAATGGAATCAGATTTTATTTTAGTGAAAAGAGGAGGGGCCAAGATTCATAATTTTTGTTTTGTTTTCACTTAACAGAAATCAAACGTGTCACTCTACTGGTTCACTGACC